CTGAAGCAATTTTGGTATAAATAAATAGAGCACTTACCTACTTTAGAGAAAGTTTGAACTTTTGAGAAGGACATAGCCTACTTTTAGTCGAAAAAATAAAACTTGAGTATTATTGACGATCACAATAGTATCGGTCGCAGTGATACTAGGACTTTATTGGACTAGAATAGCCGTTCAACTCAAATAAAAAAATAGAGTATTATTACAAAATAATGTAAACTTCTAATCATTAGACGCAATAGATCGTTTCATCCATGAAGACGCGCCCCACCATTCTTCCGGCGATTCCCTCCACCAAAAATTGGTGGGGCGCGTCTTCGTGGATGAAACGATCTATACCAGGCATTGGACAAATCAAGCCTTGAATAGATAGTATTACCGTGCCTTGAACGTCCTAAAAAAGAATATTCGCCCTTTTATGTAGTTTTATCTCCATCAGTCAGAATCTCTTAGTAACGAGAACTAGAAAGATTTTGAAAATCGCTTTTTGCTTTTGACTAGACTAGTTGCTAATTAAAAACCCACAAGATCTATCAAACTAGCCCAGGCGTTCAGAATCTAACAAATATTACTGAAGCACCGAGCGAAGGCATTTCCTTTGTGCCTTCAGGATCATATTAATTACTTTATTCATATTAATTACATTATGAAAGCAGCTCCAATCCAGGCTCATTTAAGTATTCTCAATGCATATGACTATAAAACTTTTTTCTACTATTGTTCTTTATATCGTTTGCTCGATCGACCCTCATGCCTTAGGAGAAGTTGCAGAAAATTTATGTAAATAATCATTAATTGACTTTGTATGCGAGTAGAAAATATATTCGGGACGTGTAATTAGCACCTTTTAAAAACCTACGTGAAATCACTTTAATAATCACCTGAGCTTATTTATTTATCAAGTACAATAGGTAAAGATTATTATGTATATAATACAGTTTTTATAGCTACAATAATTTAAAATGTATTTTATAATTAAATCATGCCCCACCAGAGCCTTGGCTATTTTGGATGAAGTGCGTTAATTGAAAAACAACTGTAATTTCGAGAAGCTAATTTTCCAATTAGTTAGCCATCGGTTTAATTTTAATTGGGTAACGAGTAAAATGAGTGGTTAAAAGCTACGTCACTGAATTATTTACACATGAGTACTGCTTTAATACAATATTGCGTTTGGCGCTCGCAAAAGGTATTATTTACAATAATAATTAATCAATCAAAGTATGATTCATGGAGTAAAACCCTATCTAATTTTATACCACTGGTACCTACACAACCATTTTTTATTAAGAATTGATTCCCTGAATCAAATACCCAAAACAGTCATAAGAAAAAGCCAATATCAAGAGTTTGCAAATTTTAATTCCAACTGGAATACTAAGAAATTCTATTTTTGGCTAGACAATATGACTTCAAAGGATCAAATATATTTTCAATAAGGATATTTTTAACGCACGTAAAATACTTGTATCTTATCGTATCATACATCAAAAGAGATGAACAACCCTTTTGTGACGGCTCGAAATCCATCGGATTGTCTTGAATTTTCGTCTCTCCACGAATTTTTATTTTTGGCCGATTCATAAATATTTGGGAAACGGAAAGTTGGACTTGAGCCAAGCCCGTTGCGTGGCGAGACGGGTGCGTGACGCGTCCGCGACGTGGCTAATTACACAGTGTATCACGAACCGAGATTGCTATAGCAATGTTGTTAAATCCTGACGTATGGTAAAATTCACGCACCTAATTACTAGCCAGAAGTTTGTATATTTTACCCTTTAATTTATGTATATCCTTTTAACCAAATGGTAGGCTAATGTAAGGAAATAAACCACGTTTGAGGCGAACAGTCTTTCAGTGGTCTAAGCACGAAAGGTAGCAAATAGGTACAAACATACTAGTAGGCATAATGTACTTTAGCAATTTTGTAATTATACAAAAGCTAAACTCTTGACAAATACGGCGTTATAGCAAAAAGTCGATTGTAATGTCGTCTGGAAGCCTGTATGGAATAATGGCTGTATTTTTTTTTCAAAAAACTCTACTAGTTGGAAGTTTCCTACCAACCAGAAAACAAAATGGAAAAAATAACGCATAATTATTATAATATCCTGGCCTTAAAAGTACATATTATTATGTACATGGCATAAGCTATTCATCATAAAATGTTATTCCATTTACTTCGATAGTAATAATCAACACTGTAATCATTATCAAACGATACTTCGATCTTTATTGTTGATACCGATTATTTAATAGATACACATATTTATCAAGTCCTTGATAAGATAATAAGAAAGGTAGAGATACGAAAAATAAGTAGGATCTCAAACATGATATCCAATAAATTATAGGAGTAAGTCAATCATGCGTGACCCTTGACCTTCGCCCGTGTGACCCTCTGTCAGTATAAATGGCGTCACATTTGACAGCTTAAAAGGTCAAGACAGCTGCTCATCCCTTTAAAAGGTGCATGTGTCGGGTGATAAATCATTCCTAAGTCCGTGAATCATGTAGAGACTTTGTCATGTAGAGAACAGTCTTTGTTATGACAATAATGTAGGTATTCTTTTTTGTTTGTTTTACATTTGAACTCTGGCTTGCATTGATAAGGGTGGTTGAATATAGATAAAGCATGTTTTAACGCTAAAGAGAAGCAGTCTTCATTTGTAATTTAAAACAAAACAACGTTTTAATTTCTAATTAGTTAGTTATTACTTGCTTCATTCTGTATTTCAACAGTTAAATATGAACTAGCCTTCAAACAATAAATTGGCCCAAATATTGGATTTCAATCAACCACAATCTTAATTCTATTCTCAAGTTAGGATCGAGATTTGAAAGAGCTTTGTTTCTTAATACCAGGGTAAGGCCCGTATTCTGTAACGACGATATGACTCGATACTAATTGATATAAGATCTCTTTCACGATCTCCAAGTAAAGTTCTAAGTACATAATTACTTCCTGAATAATAGTAAGAAGTGTTTTAACGCAAAAATTTTCAATGTCATGGTTTTGGTTGCTACTCGGACTTTAAGCAACGAGTTGGCTTATTTGACACTTAACTCAGAGATGTGGTGTACGAGGATCTAGAAATTTAAATTCAACAATCACAGGCCTAAAGGTATTTAGGCCTGTGATTGTTGAATTTAAATTAGATTCGTTCAGAATATTTTTACTGTTAAAATCCATTAATTTGAAATCGGTTTGTATTTTTATCAGTAAGAGCAAACTAGGAAGCACAACCGATGCGTTCTTAGGCTATTAACCTACTCGATTTATCAACAAAGAATGTTCAGAGCAGATACTTTTTTGTGTAACATCTGGTGAGGACAAAGGCACGAATGTTCGTCCGAGTCGATAGCAGGTAACTTTGAAATCCCTTCTATTATTGTTATTGTACAGACGTTAATAAAACAATTTTGCAATGAATCAGAGGAATGTTTGCCTTTTGTTCTATTTGTGCAAGAGCCGTGTAAGTATTTTGACATTAGAGCAATTAGTAATTAGTGCAATTTTAATTACTCGTCTAAATTGCGCTCAAGCGTTTATTTTTAGTACAAAATTTTGTCTATTTTATTTTTGACCAGTTATTCTTTGGGGACGTACAAATGGTACCTATTAAAATGGAGTAAAGTGGACATAATCAATTTGTTTTCATTGAAATAATTATGAATCAATGTTATTATTCTGAATAGATACGTAGCTATTTTGATGCAATTCATTATTTACAAGTGACGTAAGTTTTACTCCCAAGACCTTGATGAAACGTTTATTTATTAGTTTATTTTATTGTTAATGAGTATACTAGGCTATTGAACCGATAACACACATTGTTTCCAACGGAACTCTTATCACTGTTACTAATATTATCAGTGCGCTATTATCAAAGACTTTGGAATATTTAAAATAATTAGGTAGAGATTTATTCATACATGGTTATCAAATTTTTTAAAAATAAATTGCTCCTTTTTGCCTTGAAATCCTCGACTTTGCCATGCGATTCATTTAAAAAAATTTCAATCATTTTCCTTTATAAATATGAAACATAATAAATTAGTATCATTTGGTAATCATAGAAAACAAAGCCGGAAAAATAAAATTCCCTATATTCCCGGAAAACGTGTCAAAAACACGTAAAATCCCAAACAACGACGTAGAGTCCAATAACCTAAACAAAAAAAATGCCTAACTACAACTCTCACCCGACCAGAATAATCTTCCAATCAACCACCAACGAGTCACAGAACGAATTAACAATTTATTTAATTCAATGCACAATATAAAAATAAAATATTTAAAATCGCGCGTATGAACTCACTTCAACACGTGTTGTCTTGACGCGCGAGTGTCAAAATGTTCCCGAGTCCAGACGAGAGTCCGCGACGGCGACCGAACACAGAATAATCTTGTATTTACTAACGACTGAAGTAAAGGAAGCCCTTTTGAATGATACCATAACAACCGTCCACAATTTTATAACCCTTATCACGCACGGCATAAAGCTGATACGAAACGCACAAACAAGTCAAATGTAAATAATCATGTAGTAAGCGACGCGAATCATGCTATTTCGTTCTTTTAGTACCAAAATGGAGGGCGAGACAGGGATAGAGATATTAAGCAACCCTCGCGCATGTGCATGTGTTCCCTTGATCACCAAGGAATAACCTCAAAAGAATTTTTTTATGTTTCTATCGACAAGTTCTATGATGTGGGGACAGTTAATAGTGGTTTTATAGGCCGCTTTATGACCGGGCCCTTTTTAAGAATTTATAGTTTAACATTTTATATGATAAGTACTTATTCTATTTTTACTATTTTATGATATGTATAAACTTTCAAATTATAACTAAAAACCGCGAATGTTGAATTAAAATGGTCCTTCGGGCCGGATAATAGGTGTTATTATTAACAACATTTTTTAATTCTTCAAGAATTCGTTTTATTATGTTAATAATATTGATAATGAATATTATGTAAACAATAATAGACTTACCCACACACAAAGGCACTGTGTCATTCCAGCTATTATCATCGTAGCACCATATTAATCGCGCCCTCTGTCGGGTGTCGACGAAAACGTAGTTCACGTTGCACATGTAGTGAGCAACGTCATCCTTGCGGTACACGAGGTAACCGTCAGATGGCGCTGGCAGCGTTACGCAGCCAATGCCTGAAAGAAAACTTAGTTTCAAATGCCGTCACTAGATGTCGCTGTACAGATTCGAAATAGTGTTTGTAGATGGCGTTACTAGTTACATTTTTAAGAATTAACAATGTAGAGTCCTAGAAAACTTTGAATACTTGACAAACAGTTATTGCTCTACTTTATTTATTGCAAAATATTACGTTTTGCTTACTCAAAAGGAGTTAACAGGGATATTAGTAATTTGTGAAAAAATACTGGTTTAAAGGTTTTTAAACCTTTAAAAACCTACGGACTTGTTATAAAAAACACTTTAGTGTTCCTTTACTAAATTAATGTATGAAAGCTGAAAACATTGCATTTTCGTATAAATTCAGTTTATTTTGTAACCGATTATTGATACCGTTTGATAGAGCTCGTGAAGCGCTTTCAGGATCAGTGACCAGTTTTTTGGATATCTTGTACAGTTTATAAATAATCGAGTGTGATCATCTTCATCCACTCTGTAAGATCTTTTTGTTTTTGTTTAACCGCCTCTGTGGTCTAGTGATAAGACCACCTGCTTCAGGCGCAGAGGTCCCGCGTTCGATTCCTAGTGGGAGCAGACTTTTCTGTTCGGTTTGGTTGGTGGTAGGGCTTGTTCTAAGTCCTTCTGGCTAGCTACCATCATCTTACCTATGTCTGTCGCCATAACAACAATGTTATCAGCATTGTTGTGTTCCGGCAGTTAGATGTAAGATAGCCAGTACCTCCGTGGTTGAGGATTCCGGGTAAAGCTCGCTTCCAACTTCGGTCTGGTCATCACTTACCACCAGGTGAGATACAGGACAAGAGCTTCCTCGTTGTGGATAAAAAAAGATTAGGTACTCACTTTTATAATGCAGGAGCACCCCTCTCTTCGGGTAGGCGCCCTGCGACCGCGCCTCTACTTTCACGTCCACCGCGTTGGTGGCGCTAGTGAGGCGTAAGGGCAGCTCCACTTGCTCGCAGGATGACAGCATAGAGTCGCCGTTCGAGTCTTGGACCGAGACGTAGTCTTTGCAAGAGCTCTCGAAGGGACCTATACCTGTGAAAACATTGGATAATTATTCACAAGAACTTTATAAATTTTCCTAATACTGTTGGGCCAATCAGGTTCCATAGAGAAACAATAAAAGTAACACCTTTTGTAATACCAATATCTCATAAAAAATTTTTTGTTTCTCACACAATTTATCATCAGCAAGCAGTCATTCAGTTCAGGGAACGTGTTTTTTATATTTGATTTTGGTCCTGTAGGAAAAGTAGTTGTATTTGAGTATTGAAACAATCCTTTTTGATCAAATATGTATATTCATTCATGTAGAGGCTCCTTAAGAGCAAAATGACGATTTGTAAGAACTATTTATTAGTCTAAACAAATAAAGAAATTTTGACTTTTGACTTTTTTTGACTTTTATTAATCATAGCTTACACAGCTATCTGCGTCTTTCTGCTGTAGCTGACACCTAGCAATACACCTAAACAAAGTCCTCTTTGTCTGCTGTACAAATAAATAATCAGATCTTTCTACAAATGAACTTACTCCTCAAACTGACGTCCAAGAACGTCACCCGTATCCTCTGCTCAGGATGCGCCACCAGCCGCCACTGGCAGACATCTTCCACGTAGAAGTTAGGGTACCCTGGGGTACGGATGTAACCTTCGCTGTCCTCGCCCGATATGGCGACGTGGACCTCCCGGTTGCAGTAATGGATTGATAATGTGTCTGAAACAAGAAGATGAATTTAATATAACGAATAATACCACGAGCGGGAAGACGTAGCGTGGGCAGGCTTCCCACTAGGTGGACCGACGATCTAGTGAAGGTCGCGGGAGGTGCCTGGATGCGAGCGACGCAAGACCGGTCGTTGTGGAAATCCTTGGGGGAGGTCTTTGTCCAGCAAATTTGTCAACCAAAAATTCGGCTGAAACGAACGAATGATAACGAATACAGAGAAACAATCCAAATAGCATACAGGTAGTTATTCCATTATTTATAATGCCTACAGTTAGTGCGACATAAGCTTCCCCCCGCCACATTAATCGTTTTCGGTAATGTCACAGAAATGCTTATCAAAATCACTTGACTTCTTTACGAAGCACATAAAATCCCTTAAATTGAAAACTTATAGAAGGCACGTAAGATATTTTTATAAGTAGATTTAATTATATTGGCGACTCTACAATTTTGCATAGTCAAATTACGAGCTGTTTCTGTGACTAGAATTTGTTTAAAAGACCTGTAAATCAGACCTTGTCGTAACAGCCCCAAACACGAATTACTTAACTCCGAAGTGAAAAACCCTGTTACTAACTGACCTACGAATAGGGTTTCAAAACTTCTGGGAAATCTGAGACACTCAAAATTTTCCCGGAACATCTGGTAGGAGAGACCTGTATCCAGCAGTAGACTACATACATGTAGCTGAAACGACGACATAATACAGTGTATGTGCAGTAATTTCGATGTGGTAATTATTGGGGAAGGCCTTTGTTCAGTAGTGAACGTCCTGTGGCTAAATGATGATTATGATGATGACAGTAATTTCATTTTATTATCCCAGAACATTCAGAGCGATTATTATTACGAGAAGGGATAGTAGGTAGACCACACACTCTCCTAGACAGAGTGCCCTCCTTTTTCCCTTCTATAAGAGGCATTCACATTTCTGTAGGTCAGCGCTTAACTCAGTGCCTGAGGTATGAGAGCGACACGGGTGGGTGTTTTTGTAACGTCAAAACGTCAGCGAGACTTCAGGGCACCGATTGCGCTAAATATTTTCAACTAGGTAGGTACAACGTGACTAGTAGACAAACGAAAATCACAAATTCGTATCGCGGTGTCGCTTTGACAGCTAATTCAAACGAAAACAAAACGCAACTGCTTCTTTGTGTAAAAGCTGAAAGAAAGCTACTTTTTCTCAAACTCAAGTCAAACGCCTTCACGAGCATTTGCTGTGTTTTAGCGAAAAAATAAGGTGTTCGGAGTTTTACTGGAAAGTGATTAAATCCGTTGTTTCGTCTTTGTTTGCGTGTGAAGTGTGAACTTTACCGCGATACCGATTTGCACCTCAGCTGGAATGAAAAACAGAGTGCAACTAGTGAAGAAGCGCCAATGAATTGGTGACATTTATAATTAACTTTAAAAAAAATAAAACCGACATCAAATGCGTGAACACAAAAAAAAACTAAAAATTAAAAATATTGCGTATAAAAAAGTTCATCCCCAATTTTCCACCCTTGGGGGTGAAATATTTTCTTCAAATTCGCATGAAACCACCCTTTTGATAATACCTATTCAACAAAAAAAAATCGTTCAAATTGATTTATAATCAGCGGAGATATTGCGTATAAAAAATTTCATCCCCAATTTTCCACCCTTGGGGGTTGTTTTTTCTATTATTAAATTTAAATGGGACCACCCTTGAGGTATTACCTATACGCCGAAAAAAGATTTGTTCAAATCGGTTCATAATTGGCGGAGTTATCGCGTAACAAACATAGAAAAAAAAAACATACGGGTCGAATTGAGAACCTCCTCCTTTTTTGAAGTCGGTTGAAAATTAGCGCAATCGGGGCACTGATCTCCTTCTGATTTGTATGCTCTGTCACGTCATAATATGTCAATGTCACCTCTCCTGTGCCGCTCCCATACCTCAGGCACTAACCTAGTTCAGCGTTAGGCCTTTAAATGTTCGTCTAGCTTTTTATCCCAAAATTCGCAAACATACCCTATTCACCCCATTCACGAATGTCTGTAAAGTAGTTTACTACCCTCCATTCCGATTCACATCAGCCGAACAAGGTTGAACTTGGCTTTGATGGGATCGCGATCGGGAATGGATGTGTCCCGGAGTTTTACAACTGGCAATGAAACTGACCTTCTGACGCTGGTTTTGTTCGGATTTTATCGGTTGTCTATAAAGTACTTTTTTGTGTAGTTCTGTTTTAGACAGATACTTACTTTTGGTCTTTATAAGTTAATTCAACAATGATATCAATTACCTACTTCCAAAGTACGAGTAAGTATTGAAGAGGTTGTGCTTTAGAGACTAGATGGATAGACATAACTTTTACATGCTTGTACATTGGCACATTTATAAATATTACTATAGTATAAATAACTATATCAAGTAATCCGGAGTTAAAATGCTCCTGCCCATTTCAATAACAGCGAGAGTCAAACCTTTAACCGCCGCGGTTTCAGTAACGTAAGCGAACAACAAGGTCATGCTATCTTTATTAAACACAATGCAAAGCATTTTAAATATATTTTTCTTTTATTTTGCCACCACCTAAGAATCGTTAGAGCGTTAGTTCTTTCCAAAGTGATATGCCAACCAACATAAATACTCTAACACAACTGTCATAACAGTTTTATGCCCTTTCATAGATCATATTCATCGCAATATAAATATTTTGATAGCTTCTAATAAAAGCACTATTATGCTATTGCCTGTAGACAGTCACCCGTTGTATTATGACATTCTGTCTAGTGTTTTGTTTTCAGGGTTGGTCCTTATAAGTTACTAGCAGCCGCCCGCGACTTCGTACGCGTGGATCCCGTTTTACCCCCTTAGGGATTTAATTTAGCAAAATCCCATCTTAGTGACCACCTACGTTCTAAAAGGAACCCCATGCAAAATTTGAGACTTCTAGCATTTGTAGTTTCAGAGATTTCGTGATGAGTGAGTGATTCAGTGACCTTTCGCTTTTATAATAGTTGCAATAGGCGTTATTCTACTAAAGCCTGGTCCGTGAGCACGTAGAATTTTGACCAATGACCCCAAGCTACTACCCCTAGCTTGGGGTCAAAATTCTACGTGCTTACGAACCAGGCTTAAGCGTTTGTTAATATGCTGTTGACTCTACAAGTAACCAAAATATGCTTACCTACAATAGCTCCGATTTGATAGTGTCTTTTAGAGAAAAAAATGCGTTTCTCGTTATCTATATCCTCCATCATAATCATCATTAGGTCATTTAATGCACGACCCTCTAATTTACCCTGGGGTAAATATGTAGAGCATTTCTGAGATTTAGAGTCTGCTGCACTTCAATCACTAGCTAGACAAGTTGTGGAGGACAAAATAATGTTCTAAAATGTTTTTGTCACTTGATGATGGTCATATTCTACTTTGTTGCAACCACACAGTTGACTTTACAGCTACTATCCTCAATATTTTCGACATTTTCATGAGCAAGTATTCCTGCACGCAACAAACTCCTTTACTACCCTTGATAGTTTAGAATTTTTACGAGCTATTTCTCTCATTTTCTTCAGTTTCTTTAGTAGCATCCCTACCACCGGCGCCGTCCTTTATGCCCATATTCGAAACAAAAAGCGGGAACATCTCCATTGTGCGTAATTGAACGGGGACGTTTACGGGCCTTTTACGGCTTTTTTTACGTCACGGGGCCGTTGACACCTCGTGCCGAATTTGGGTTAATTTAAATGAGCCATTAAAGTATTTGAACATGACTCTTACGTAACTGATCATGTTATTGTTTTTTACACGTTCATGGACACAAATACCACGTGGTATGGTAAAATGATAGTAGAGAATTTCATATTTAGCAATTTCCACGCCAATTGACTTATTGTGGCTTAAATTCGTGCTTACACCGCTTGCATCGTCATAGGAGGAGGTGTCACTTTTCAATTTGAATAAACTCTCCTTAAATGGCTCTAAAAGTGTATAATTACGTGACGCGCGACAAAGACTAACGCCCGTATTGGCAAACATTACTATGAGGTCTCACAGGGCGCGTGTCGCACAGGGTGACACACGAACCAATCACAGAGCTCTATTCAACGCTGTTCGTTCGATTTGCTGCTTCACTTAAGCAAGCGTCGTTTGTGAATACGGGCGTACGGTCTGTGATATAAATCCAGTTGTATTGAGGCAAATCTAATAAATCTCTGGGTAAATACTTTTAGCCTTTAGAAAAGAAGTAAGAACAACTGCTTTCCATAAATACGAAACAAAATCTGAAACTAATACCGACTTGAATCTAACAAAAATAAACCTCAAACCTCTATCTGTTTGAATTTTATTACATCAAGTATTTATATTATTTAGATAACTGTTAAATGAATTGCAAATCAAAGTCCGACCAAAGCCAGATCAAAGAAAAACATTTCACATGCTTCCGTCAGACTCATTAATTTACAATCCATTTTCCGATACTCAAATCAGAGTTTATTTTTGATTCTGTACGATATACGTACCTACAGGGTATTTTTTACACGATTTAGAAGATTTGGCATATCAAAATAAACACTATGGAAACGCATGTAGTGTTATTATTCGTTAAACAATATGAATTAAGCGTTAAACATATACTAATAAATATTATTTTTTATGTATCTGGGGGCACGGCAGTGCCCCCACCAAGTCGAGCAAAAAAGCGGCACGGCCGTACCATCCTTTTCTCGAAGCAATTCAGGCCATTTTCGACGGCCTGTAACTTCGTTGTTGATAAAACTAGAAGGCTGAATTTTCATTAGCTATGCAGGCATTGTAAAGACACGGTATATTTAAAATTTCATTCAATTTGAACCAGTAGTTTAAGAATTATAACGGGTCAAAGTTACTTAATTTTGTCACTCACTGACTCACTGACTCACTGACTGACTCACCGATCATCAAAATTCTAAGGCACTTCTAGCAGACCTAGAAGCTTCAAATTTGGAATATAAGTAGTGTTTGGTGTATGAATCAA